AAGGTCGTACTTTGGCTCTTGTGGACTTGTTTTAATTTTCTTCAGCTTCAACGTGAACTTGCACATGCGCTTCTCCATCATCTCTTTCTGCAGATGTAGTCACTTTGATGACTGTGTATCCCATCCGGTGTTTATGTATAGTCGCCATTTATGTTGTTGAAAAAAGATATTTGCAATGAATAAGTCACTGGTCTTGCAAAATTCTATCATGGCATCTCTGGCATCGTTTCTGTCACCTGGACCATATTTTTCAACTACTGATCCTTTTTCTTTGTTTCCAACTTTCACATTCCAATCACCAGTGACATGAGATTCCTCTGTGAAGCCTAGATCTCCAAAAGAATTACACCTTTGGTGAGGAATGAATAGGTTTGAAAATAAGAGTATGTTTCTGCTTTGAGGCAGGATCCTTAAGGGAAGCTGTCTGTCTCCATCCTGGATGGGGTGTCATGTGTATGGAGGAGTTGCTTCTGGGAATTTGAAAGCATAGGCCTGCCTCATATGAATCTGGAATTTGAATTTTATTGCCCTGGAAGAGTAGAAATTAATTTAAATTTGGTCAGTTTGTTAGTGCTCCTTGATACCTCTCAGAAACAAACTCGTATCCTCTCTGGAAAGAGGCATCCTTATTCTAACCCCTGTGGACTCTTTTACGAGCCCTGGTGGCACAGTGGTTAAGAGCTACGGCAGCTAATCAAAAGGTCAGCAGTTCGAATCCACCTGCCGCTTCTTGGAAACCCTATCGGGCAGTTCTACCTTATCCTGTAGGGTTGCTATGAGTCAGAATCGACTCGACGGCAGTGGCTTTGGTTTGATTGATTGGAGTCTTTTAAAGATTCAGTTCATCTAAATATGAACTCACTTTAGAGAAATTACCAACTGGTAAAAAGACATCATTGGTGAGACTGAAGCTACCAACAGATTTAGATATCCCCAGGATTTTAGATACTGGAATTATCAGATACAAGATGTAAAGTAATTATAAAGTATTTTTTAAAATCTCAGATAGAAAAAAAATTAGTAAGAAAAGCAGAATGATTTGACATATTTGAAAAATAAACAAGTGGAAGCTTTAGGTAGAAAAAATAATTGTTGAAATTTAAAATTCAATGGATGGGTTAAAAAAGCACATTAGAAATAGCTCAAGTGAATTAGTGAATTGGAAGATAGATCTGAAGAAATCACAAGAATGCATTTTGAGAGACAGGAAGACAGAAAATATAAAAGAGATGTAAAGAGACAGAAAATACGCAGACAGATACTTGTACATCAATGTTTATTGCAGCACTATTCACAATAATCAAAAAGTAGAAACATCATAAATGTCCATCAATAAATCAATGGATAAACAAAATGTGGTATATACATACAATAGATTATTAGTCATAATGAGAAATGAAGTCCTGATACATGCTGAAAACATTATGCTACATGAAATTAATCAGTCACAAAAGGACAAATACTGTATGATCCAATTGCATATGTAAAAAGTGTTGAAATGGCCAAGTGTTTTGTACAACTCTGTGAAGATACTAAAAACCACAGAATTGTACACTTTAAAAGAGTAAATTTCATGGTATGTGAATTATATCTCAATAAACAATTTTAAAGAAAGAGCAATCAAAAATAGAAAGTATGGAGAATAGGTAATTTTAAAGAGATTTGTGAAAAGTTTGCCCTTGCCCAAGTACTCTTGCTTAAGACAAATATTTGCTCCTTTTTTACTTCCTTAATACATTTAGCTACAAATTATAGCATTACCAAATCTTAATAAATTTAAACTTTTTATAACTACACAGAGTTCTAAAGAATGTGCCAGGTATTTTAATAAACTTATTGATCTACTATTTTAAGATAAGGATAGGTTTTTTTTTTTTTTTTACAAGTCAAAGAGAGAACAAGTATCTATAAAGAAAAATAATAGTCTGGCAATCGACTACCTATTTTTTTTAAAGAAAACACAGTCTATATTGTGTTAAATCTCTTTTCTTTTTATTTCCAGTTATTGAAAAATGTCAGAGGGTCTTGGATTATGTGAAAGATAGAACAATTCAAGTCCTGAAATTATTATAATTAAATTTTTTTTTAACTTTTTATTCTTAAATAATCATAGATTCACAGGATATTGCAAAGAAAGATAGGGGGAGGTCCCATGTCCTCTTCACTTAGCCTCCCGTAATGTTAACATCTTGCTTAACTATAGTACACTATCGAAACTAGGAAGTTGACATTTGTACAATCCACAGAACCCATTCAGATTTCCTCAGTTATACCTGCACTCATGTGTATGTGTGTAGCTCTGTGCAATTTTATCACATATATAATAGCTTTGTGTAACTGCCACCACAATCAAGATAAATTATCTATAACTTTACCACAAGGCTGTCTTGTGGTACTGCTTTATGGCCACTTACACCCTTCCCATTCCCTATTCCCAACTGCTGGTAACCACTAATTGGTTCTCCTTCTCTGTAATTATGTTATTTCAAGAATGTTATATAAATAGAATCGTATAAATGTATTCTTTTGAGATTGTCTTTTTTCACTCAGTATAATTCCCTTGAGTTCATCCAAGTTGTTGTGTGTATTAATAAAGTATTCCTTTTTATTGCTAAGTAGTATTTCATAGTGTGGGTGTTCCATAGCTTAACCATTCACAGCTTGAAGGACATTTGGATAGTTTCCAGTTTTGAGCTATTATAAATAAAGATGCTGTGAACATTTGTGTACAAGTTTCTGTGCAAAAAATATGTTTTCATTTTTCTGGGATAAATTCCAAGAGAGACTATATTGTATTTTAATTTAGATTTAAATTTTACCCAGCTGAATTCTCTAGGCAGATTAAAACGCTGATTGTCCAAAAGAAAGTAAACTGTAATAGCAATAAACATTTGAATGGATGTTAACCTTAACTCTCTGCTGTCCGGTCAACTGCACCTCATAGTGACCTATAGGACAGAGTAGAACTGCTCCATAGGGTTTCCAAGGAGCGCCTGGTGGATTCGAACTGCCAACCTTGTGGTTAGCAGCCGAATTCAACCACTGTACCACCAGAGCTCCGAACGTGCCTTACGGCAGGTAACATGGCTGCGTAAAAATGAATGGATCTAGGCTTAACAAATCATTTTTTCCCTCAGTGGCTTTGTCACAAGTATTCATTGCACAAGCTAAAGCAACACTCAACAAGTATTTGAATGCCTGGTCTATATAATGCACTGTATATTATAAAGGGAACTTTTTTGGTTGTTTTTAGCATATCCTTCAGCATATTATTGATGTTTAATTGCCACTGGAATGTTTGCATTATTGAATTTTACACCATTGAATTAGCTTTGTTTTATTCACAGAAAGATGAGCCAGATGCTTTCAAAGAGCTGGGAACAGGAAATAGAATTGCTACATGGCTGTTTTACGTAAGTTACGGCTAAAGTTTTTATTTTAAGTTGGGATTTGATCACATGACTCATTTACTCTGATATGTTCAGATAAGTTTGTTCTGCTTAACTCTATTTAACATCCTAGTTTAAAGTTTTCACAACCGAGTAAAAGGAATTATGAATTTTTTTCATTTGCAACTTTTTAGGTAATAAAAGGTTCATTGTAGAAATTTTTGATAAAAGCCTGAAGAAATTTAAAATACTAATAGTCCCATTAGTTAGAGGTAATCATTGTTACTATCTTGGAGTATGGACTATCTGTTTAGTCATATATACACTATTTATATGTTCTTATATATATAAGAATCTATATTTGCATGAATTTGTGTGTACATACACACATTATTTTAGTAAACTTTTCTTACGAATTAAATTTTTTACTGAAGTATAATACACTTCAGGAAAGTACTCAAAGCATAAGTGTATAGTTTGATAAATTTTCACCAAGTGAACACACTGGTGTAATCAGCACCAGACCCAGAAGTGGCATATTACGGCAGCCCACAGCCCCACTCAGGGTTAACCACGCTTATATAAACCACATTTATTAAAATGTCAAAATAGTACGATCTTCATTTAATTTAAAAAATTATTTATATATTCATACATGTAGAAGAAATTAGGTTTTAATATTTGTTCCAGTTCTATTGCTGCATAACAAATCACCCCAAAACTGAATGGTTTAGAATAACGGTCATTTTATGATCTCTCATGGTTGACTGGGCACAGCTCATGGTTCTTGTTCCAGATCTCTGGTGCATTTGGAGTCAGTTGAGGGCTGGGGCTGTAGTCATCTCGAAGGCTGAGATTGAGGCTGGCTGTCACCAGAACACCTACACATGGCCAATCTGTGTGGCCCGGGCTTCCTTGTGCATTGTGGCTGAGTTGTAGCAGCAAGCATCCCGAGAGAACAAGGAAGAAGTGCATAGCATTTTTATGATTTACCATTAGAAATCACATAGTGTCCCTTCTGCTGCACTCTGTTAATCCAGGCAGTTACAGAGGTCTGCCACGTTCAAGGGAGTCCTGGTGGCACAGTGGCTAAGAGCTCAGCTGCTAACCAAAAGGTCAGCAGTTCAAATCTACCAGCTGCTTCTTGGAAACTCTATGGGGCAGTTCTACTCTGACCTATAGGGTCGCTATGAGTCGGAGTCGACTCGACGGCAATGGGTTTGGTTTTTTTTCTTCTTGGTTTGTTTTAGATGTGACTACTGAATACAATATATAGTTGGGTTTTGTTTTGTGATACAGTCTGAATATTCCTATACATTCTACTTATGTTGCTTTAAAAAAAAAAAATCTTCACTGTTTGATCTGTGCTTTCTTTGCCTTATTTTGTGCATGTGTTTCTTCAGTTATTTTGAAAGGTTTATGTTTTGTTCTGGGTTGCCTTTATGACTATAACTTTATATAATACTTAAATATTTCTAATTTTATTTAATAGGGTGTGATTCCCTACCATGAGAAATGACAAAACTGATTTTAGTTGATTATTATTTTTCTCTTGGCATATGTTTCTGTTTTATTAAAATAAATATTTCTTGAGCACATACTATTCTGGAGGTACTATTCTAGACTGTAAAGATTCAGCAGTGAACAAAACAAAATTGTTGCCTTCATGGAACTTACATTCCAGTACAATAAATATATATTTATATCTCTGTATTACTTGATTTATCAGTTTTAAATCATCTCTTTTCACCTTTGGCTATCCCAAATTACATACCTTCAGCCTCCTTTCTGAGTTTTTTGTTACTCATTCTTTTGCATTTATTTACAGTTTTATCACCCATGTATGTAAGCCTGAGTAGCATATTGTTTTGTTTTTGAAAAACTGAGTAGCATGCACAAACCCAGCTGTGTAAGTGGAAGTCTGGACGTTCTCATATACTAGTATTCAACATCCAGTTCTCACAGTGGCATGTTTTACTTTATTCTACCAGCACTTTTGATAATAAGTACTGTCTTGTCTCATATAGATGAGTGACGTGTCAGCTGGAGGAGCCACTGTTTTTCCTGACGTAGGAGCTAGTGTTTGGCCCAAAAAGGTAAACTTGGTTTGTTTGTTCGTTTTTTATGTTTTTGGTCTCTTTTTATTTTTCCCTGAGGTAGAGGTGCACCTGCATCTCATGGTCTAATTAATGAATTACATTTTCAAATGTAGTATGTTTTAAGGACTATGTTATCTTTAGGTAAAATTTTGGGTGTTTTTATGGCACTACTTACCATGAATACCTAGAGGTAATGAACAATCAGGGATTAAATTTAAATTTTTCCATTCCTATAATGGGTTCCGGATGATGTTTGCCTGCCACCTTGCTATTGTTAGATTTGTTAGCTTTGTTTTTTGACAGATGCCCTTTTTGTCAAACAGCTTTGTGGTATTAACTTTCTCATGTGCTCAAGAACAATGTTTAAAGTGATGTAATCACATTTTACAGTAGAGGAAGATATAATGCTCCATAGAGGAGTCCTTCTGCAGGAACAGAAGAAAATTTAAGTACTGCAGGAAGTGATAACCTAGCATTTTATTTGGGGATGACTTTGTATTGTTCTCCACAGGGAACTGCTGTTTTCTGGTATAATCTGTTTGCCAGTGGAGAAGGAGATTATAGTACACGGCATGCAGCCTGTCCAGTGCTAGTTGGAAACAAATGGGGTAAATATTTCCTGTATTCTCAGAATAGAATTTTTGTTCCATATTTGATTTTTGTTCATATTTTGAAAACTGTTATAATCAACATCTTACAAGAAAAAAAAAAAAATCCACAGGTTTGGTCTAATAGGACTTTAACGTTGTAAAGGATTCAGCCAACCAAGTTTCTGATCTTAACATAAATTTGCGTTCAGTAGATGCAAATCTGTTTCATTTGCTCTAATATGATCTAATTCTGTATCATAGAATTTTGATAACAAAGTTTATTTTTTACTTTATTTCTACTTGTTATTCCAAGAAACATTAATGGATTTAAGGTTGAATAAGACAATAGCTTCCCCTCAAAGGTTCATAATTTGCTTGAGTCATACTAATGGATAACTTTGAGTACAGTACAGTACATGCTAAGACAAAGATATAAACAGATGATGGTGATTCCTTAAGTTTGGGAGCCTTCTTCAAAACTTAATTTTTAAATTTGGTCCTGAAGATTGAGTAGTAATTTTCCGAGGCACATTAGGCACCAAGGCCAGGATTAGGGTGACATTAGCGAAAATTTAAGGAGGCACTTGCTCTGAAGGTCATGCAAGTCAGGTTTGGTCACATTAAAAAAAGTGAAAAGAAGCAGGAGAAATTAATTGTAACAATATATTTTATTTAACCCAATAAACCCATTTCAATATGTGGCACTAGCTACAGTGCAAGTGCTTAGTAGCCATGTGTTTAGCAGCTACTGTATTGGACATAACAAGATCAAGAGGTGAGGCCTGATCATCAGGATGCTTTAAATCTCCCTAATGATTATAATGTTTTGGAACCACTGGACTAGAGTGAGGAGAGGTTAGTCGAGCAGAGATCAGCTTAGAAGGCTGTTTTCCATTGTCTACATGGGCAGTATTGAAAGCCTGGGCTAAGGCAGCAGCAAAAGGATTAGAAAACAATGAATGGATTCAAGAGACTTAAAAAGAAAATTGATAAAAGAGTTTGATGAATAAGAGATAGAAGAGGAGTTAAGAATTTTTAAGGTTTCTAGTTTAGATATTTTGTGCATGTTGATGCCATTGATTGGATTTTATGATACAGGAGATGAAGGAGTAGAAAATCAATTCCTCTTAGGTACATTAAAAAAAATACCTGGACACCAAGGAAACTTAAGGAGCATATAATAGAAATGAGTTACTCCTTTAGAGTGGAGACTTTGTGTTGATTTTTATGCCTTTGTATTTTGAAGGTTGTGCTTTGAAAATAGGTAAAACAATGTTTTATTCTATTTGCATCTAAATTGCATTTGTATGTCATTTCAAACTTCACATTGAACCCTGGAAGCTTTAGGAAATGCACCATATATAGACTTTTAAGCACTTTTTAAAATATATTATTTTGTGTGTTTCTAACATAGACTGCCAAAGTAGGATCTACCTTTATCTAGTTTTGGTCTTGAAGTTTTACCCATGTGGAAACTTTGTTATAGACTTAATTAGTGTTAATTAAATTATTAATAAGTTAATTAAATACTAATTAGAGAGAGAAATTAATCATTTTTTTCCTCTCACAGTATCCAATAAATGGCTCCATGAACGTGGACAAGAATTTCGAAGACCATGCACCTTGTCAGAATTGGAATGACAAACAGGCTTCCCTTCCTCTCCTGTTGTGCTGTAATGTGTCTGATACACACAGTTCCCAGTCTTGACTTTCAAGAGTTTACAATTGACTAACACTCCATGATCCATTCAGTCATGAACCTCATCCCATGTTTCATCTGTGGACAATCACTAACTTGTAGTGGTTTTTCTTTTAAAGGAAACACTAAATCACTACATACTTTGTACATTTAAAACCTTAAAGTTCAGAGGGTATCACAGAGGACAAAACAAGTCAGGGTTAAAAATGAGGAATTTTTACTTTTATGTTTTATTTTAAAGAATTTTTTGATTGGATAAAAAAACACAATTAAGCATCCAGTTGTATTATTTCACTACATCTCGGTGGTGGTAGGCTAAGAGTGGGACAGGTGATTAGAAAACAGATGCCTTGCAGTATGTACCTAGGTATTATGTTTACCTAGTCTTACTCTCTGTTTATTTTCTGAATCTGTTGAAAGTTAGTAATAAACTAGGACTCTAATATCGATTCCATACAACGTTTGCCCCTCCATACACTATTCTAAGTTGATTTTTTTCTCCCAAGCCCTTTCTGAAAAAAGGATTTATCAGTCCCTATCTTCTCTCATAGCTCCTCTGTGGTGAATTAAATCTTTTTTTTTTTTCCAAAAAATTTTAACAGAATGCCCTGCATAACAGCGTTGGGCCTTCTTAACTAAAATGTTCATCACTTAGTCTGTTTCTTTCTCCTTTTTCTTAAATGACAATTTTGTCCATAGAATTTCCTGTCTTTCTTACTGCTAATACCTTGTCTCTTATTCCTGCTACAACAGGGTGGTGACATTAGCATTCTGATTAAATAAATATTGTGCCTTAGGAGACTGGAAATTTTAACATGTACAAGTCCTTTCAATGATGAGGGAATTGATAAAAAAAAACTTTTGCCTAAACAGCCAAAATGTTTGTTTTTCACTTCTGAAATGTGACAACAGTGACCTATTTATGAACTTAAATCTTTTTTTAAAAATGTTTCTGTTTTACGTGTGGTGTTTTTTCTTGTTTGAATCTGACTACATGCTATAGAAATGTTTGTTGTTAGTTGCCATTGAGGCAGCTCCAACTCATGGCAACCTTAAGTATAACAACAAAATGTTGCCTGGTCCTGCACCATCTTCACGATCATTGGTATGTTTGAGTTCATTTTTGCGGCTAATGTTTAGTGCCTTCCCACCTAGGATCCAGCGCTATATCAGACAATATTCTATTGTGATTCATAAAGGTTTTCATTGGCTAATTTTCAGAAGTAGGTCCTCAGGGTTTTTCTCCTAGTCTGTCTTAGTCTGGAAGCTCAGGTGAAACCTGTCCATTATGGGTGACTCTGCTGATATTTGAAATACTGGTGGTATAGCTTCGAGCATCATAGCAACATGCAAGCTACCGTAGTACGACAGACTGACAGACGGGTGGAGGATAAGAATAACCGAATATTTCTAATTTGTGCTATTTTTTTAGTACATGGGACATAAGTTTTGCTCTTTTTTTATACTCTTGTTTTGCCTTCACTCAAATGTTCTTAGGTTATGAAATAGAAATTGTTAAATGGAAGAAAAATTTTAGGCTCTCTGAAGCTTCAGAAACTCAGTTGGTCAAAATTGTGTTCCCTTCAAATGGAACTTTACAACTTTAGTATGGTTATGGGGTTATTACAATAATGGTACTTAGACTTTCTCTTATTAAAAAATACAGTGCTAGTATAAAGCTGTGAACTTAATGAAGTATCTTAATTGACCCTGAAGCCTAACTTTTTACACTGTTATGGTGAATCTTAGTTCACCCAAGGATTCTTTATCCTTTATGTAATATTTAAATATTTAAGGAAGAATTTGGTTAATTCTCTGGGAAAGTAGGTACTATTTTTACCTACTTTAAATTCCTTTATCTCAACTATCCTTTGTTCCACAAGTATTTTAGTAAGAAATATTGAGAATTAAGTTCAGTACTTTACTCAGATTTTGTGTCTGTACATGATTTAAAAAGACTTTTTTTAAGTAAAAATTAGATGAAAGCAACATAAATTCAGAAGTGTAGAAGTAAAATGGGGGTTCAGAGGATAGAAACTAACGTTTACTGCCATATGTGTTTTAGCAAGTGGAATAAAAATAATACCTGTTTCACAAGGAAATAACATTCTGTAATCCTACAGGTTTTCTCATTATATTCAACCCTAGTCCCCACATGGGGATTGGTGAACTTTTTTCAAATTTTCACACTTGGTATTGTTCTTTCCAAACGAAAAGGGGGAAGAAAACTTCCATTTTGAAACTTTGGGTCCAGTTGTCATTGTAATCCCTTTTCTTTTTCCTTTTTTTTTAATGGTGACTTTTAAAATAAACAAGTGCTTTGCTGGAGATACAGTAAGAAAATCATTAAGACTACTATTTTTAAAATTCTGTTTTCATTTAAATGGCTTTAAGAGGTAAGAATTAAGAATAAAAGCAGACACTTACAGAGTACTTACAGATATTGGGCACTATACTATAAAACGGAGAAACTGTAGTTTCCTCACCAACCCTAAGCCTGTTTTTCAGGATCAGAAGTTTCATTTTGTATTAACTTTAAGTGTGGAGCTATCACCAATATGGAGTTAGGTGTACACCAGAACACCGCAACAGCTGGTTAAGTAAATGTGATAACTAGAAGATAACCTAGGATGATTATAAAAATAACAATGAATTGACTTTAGGATTCTTTGGAATTCTGGGTGGCATGTGCAGGGTAAAGCAGCAATTAACCATCTACTTAAGTAAAAATATAATAAAATGGGTACTACAGTGTGAGAGAGCTGAAAAGAGTTGTAGTAAGCAGTAAACTAAATATATACATACGTTTATATAAAATCTTATTACTGCTGAGAAGAATCTAAATGTCTTTACATGGCTTTAAACTGGCTATATGTAAATTTCTTACCAGGTGTCCAGTTAAGTTCATATACCTGAAAAACAAACAACCTACGTACAGGGCCTTTTGGGCTAAACAACTGAATAACTGGGTACCTGCCATTAAGAAACTTACAGTGTAATAGGAAAAAAACTATGATTAAATAACTATAAATCACTTGAGAAGGAAAAGACAAAATTACAAAATAAAGATTGCTAGGAGAAAGCAGAATAAAAAATGACATCTTAACCTTTATAATAGCCAGCAATACAAGAACCGGACTCTCTTCTTGGCAGCACGCACTTCCACTCTGGTAAAAGTTGGTGTTTTAGAAGGAACAGTACTGGGTGACTGAGAGAAAAAGGAATGAATTATGAACACTAGAGAGTACCATTTGTTAAACTACCAGATAGATGAAATAAAGTAGATCTCATATTCCTGTTCTCCTAGTGTCCTTGGATATTACCTCACCACACTGATGTGCTTTGCAAAATTAACTATAGTAAACCAGTAAAATTCTTGGCTCTCTGAACTTTCTAAACTTTTATTTAAAGACTTTAAAGTTTGCTTTCTGAGTGAATGTAACCTTCAGTTAAATATAAATTTTGATGCAAGAAGACTAATAATATGGCCTTACTGTTGATTTTTAATAACTTCTAAAATGTAGAAACAGATTTTAATCTTGTACCAACAAGAATTAGTCACATTAACTTTAAGTAATCAAAACAAAATTTTTTTTAACAAAAAGGTATTTATATAATGTTGATAATAGTAACAGGATCAAAATTATGTGGTAGTTTTAAAAGCCCTTTAAAATTTATGTCATTAATTCTTTAGTTATATATATGTGTGTATGTGTGTGTGTGTGTATTTAAAACAGCTTTATTGAGATATAATGTCCATATCATACAATGCACCTTTAAAAAGTATAAAATCCAATGGGATTTAATATAGTCACAAATACGTGCAACCATCACCACATTCCATTTAAAGCATTTTCTTTTTTTTTTTAATTTTTTGTTGTACATTAGGTGAAAGTTTACAGAGCTAATTAGTTTCCCATTTGATAGTTTGTACATGAAGTGTTCCATAACATTGGTTTTATTCCCAACAATGTGTCAGCACCCTCCCCATTTCTGTCCTAGATTCCCCATTTCCTTTCATCCTGATTGTCTGTCCCTTCCTGCTTTCTCACCTTTGCTTTTGGACAAATGTCGCCCTTTTGATTCCACATAATTGATTGTTCTAAGGGCACATTCGCGTGTTATTGTTTATTTATGGGCCTGTCTATGGTTTGGCTGAAAAGTGATCTCTGGGAATGGCTACAGTTCTAGTTTAGAAAGGTTTCTTAGGGCCATAGTCTTGGGGGTTCCTCCAGTCTCTGTCAGACCAGTAAGTCTGGTCTTTTTTGTGAATTTGATTTCTTGTTCTACAGTTTTTTCTCCTGCTCTGTCCAGGACCCTCTGTTGTGATCCTAGTCAGAGTGGTCGATCGTGGTTGCCAGGCACCATGTAGTTGTTCTGGTCTTGGGGTCATGTAGGCTGTGGTTCATGTGGTCCATTCATCCTTTGGACTAATTGCTCCCTTGAGTCTTTGGTTTTCTTCACTCTACTTTACTCCGACAGTAAGAGACCAATAGATGTATCTTAGATGGCTGCTCACAAGCTTTTAAGACCCCAGTGAGTGATCAAATTTTAGATAAAATCTGTAGATTTTAAATAAAAGGAACAGCTAAAAGCTGTAGAAGTCCTCCATCTTCTGCCTTTTGAGGCTTTGTTGAATTCCCACTGCAGCACTATTCTGTTGAAATTGGCTGTACTCAGCAAGATAATTATAGATAAAATAGCTCTAAAATCTGAAAAAAGAAAATCCTCAGATTTTGTCATTTGGTCTTTCCAATGTCCTAACAGGCTTATTTCTAATATAAATCTGTTGTAGGCTAAGGACTTTAAAGGGTGCAGAATAAAACATTTAAATACAGAGTGTTGTATACTTTTTTACATTTCAGAGCTATTTAGGGAGAAGAATTTTATCTTCAATCTTTTCTTAGAAAAGGCATTCACTTATATTTTAAGTCCACAGAGAACCAGAATTATTATTGTACTATCTACTTTAGAATCATAAATACAGTTGAACTCCATTGCAATGTAAGCCTTACATGGGTTTGGATCTATCATGCGTTAAATCATATTATGTAAAATAACTAACTACAAAACAGTTAACCCCTAATAATAGATATTAAGCTTATCCTTTGATACCTGTGTAATAAAATACATTACAGCTGTTAAATCTTAAAAGATGAAATAATTTACATAGTAGTTGAATTTAGTTATGTTCTGTTGTACTTTTAAAAGGCAAGATAATTAAGTTTCTGTGACATGACTTTTTAGACCTTAATCATGTGATGGAAAAAAGTCCTTATTAAAAATAATCAGTGTTATTTTTCCCACATTCCCTTTTTATTTCGACAGCTGTGGGGAGCATAATCTATGGACAGTTCACTTAAGATAATATTAAAGTGCTCTGAGAGAGTGTTACTGGTGTAGTTTGTAGATGAGCTGCCATTGGGTTTGTTACTGGTCCTCAGTGAGATAAGGAGCTTACATCAAAATGTAAATAAACTATATCAATAAGCACAGGGTTTAGTTTCATTGGTATTTTTCATAGCAAGACTTCTAGATGAGGAAAGCAATGCGTTGATTTACATTGTGATACAAGCTCCTTTTT